ATTACTCAAAATCAAGCCAGAGTTCACTCTGTTTCAAAGGACAGGAAGAGTTAAGACAAAGTTTTTGTGAGTTAATTCCTAAAGGGAAAAAAATGTTACCTCTCTTTTCTTTCTCTTGTTTTAAACATGCAGAAAGATTCCCCAAATCTCTGAAAATATCTTCTCATTGTCAGACCAAAGATGGTATTGTCAGCTGCACCAATGCTTTGATTTGAACCAAACAGTGGAATCAGTATCATTTATCTTCTGATTTTTATCAGAATAAAATTATTTACTGGAGACAAAAGACAAAGACATACGTCTCGCTAAGAATTAACAGAGACTTTTAGAGGTATCCTTACATATCCAGTAAATCAAGCAACATCTATCCATTGTAGCAAGAAGAGTATGTCCTAAGCTTTCCCTTCCCCTCCCCCAAAAGCACTCACAAAATGTCTCATATAATTGAATAAAACATATTTGCAAAGGCTCTTGGCAAAAAATACGCCCAGTGGCCAGACTGACTTTGTTCCATGGCAGCCGACTCTAGAAGACTAATGATGCTACCCTCGCATGAAATGACGATTTATGCTCTCTGGCGTAAAGCGTATTCACCTTGGTATAACACAGCGGCTCAAACAGTCAGCATGCTCGACGAAGCCTCAAAGGGCAGTCCTTTGCTTCCTTTACATCTTGGTCTACATGCCAACTTTTCAATAAGGCCCACAGTGATCAATCTAATTAAAATCGCAATACCCTCTTCCTCCCAAGTCTGAATAATCTTAATCTGACAATTTACTCAGAAAATTTAGCTACTTGGAATGTATCACATGATTTATTGAATTATCCTGTGTGTGTGTGTAAATGCATGTTAATCATTCCACTACCCTTTCTACACACACACACACACACACACGAAGATAAGACTGATGAGGACAGGACCTTTATCTGTTTCCTGATATACCCAAGAATCTAGAAGAGTTCTGGCACATAGTAGGAAATAAATCAACATGTATTAGTTGAATGAATGAATAAAGGACTCGGGGCTTAGACTGACGTGGCCCTGAGTCACAACTCCACCTACACTAGCTGTAGGAACCTGGGAACTGACCATCCTCTCTGCAGCTGTTTCTTCATCTGTAAAATGGGGATGTTAGGAGTGCCTGCCCCATAGGATCCTCATGAGGATTACGTGAGTCAGTGCATGTCAAGGGCCTAGAATCATGCTTGGACATAGTAAGCTTTTAATAAATGTTAGTTGCCGTCGTTATTATCATCAGCATATGTTTCCCAAGGTGGTGATAGATTTGTGATGATTTATGAGCTCAAGCAACTGGCTCTCCTCATATCTGACACCACAGATGTGAGATTGTGAAAAGGGACCCAAGGCTCTTGATAGAACGGGGAGCTATCAAGGGTCAAACCCCATCACAGCGACCTCATCAGCTGCAATTCAATAACACACAGGATTCTGCAGAGGAGCTGTTAACAGTTTAAGTATCCCCGTCTCAGACGTGCAGGCGTAGAATAAGCATAACAATGAAATCAATGAGTAAGTGAGGGCGAGGCTCAGAAACCTTAAAAGGCAGGGAAGGCAGCTCCGCTCTTCCCACGTGGACAGAGGGATGTGTTTACTCGGCTTAACTGCAGTCGGAGCTGATGGCTCTGATGGCTTTGAGTCACCCTCCACCCCTCATTCTGTGGACTTCTACAGAGGGGCTGAAAGTCACACTTCACAAAAAAAGATGAAGAGAAAAAACCAGGCCTCCATTCAAGAATTTACCAGAGCATTCGCATCATTTAGACATCTGCTTACGTTTCTAGAAAGCTAATAATCGGAAATGGGAAGGCAACCTTTTCCTGGAGCAAAACCCCAGTCTGCCTAAAGGTTGCGAATTAAATCATTAACCTAAATGTTCACTAAGTATTTAGGAAAACAAAACCCTTTGGAAACACGTATTATTGATTTACAGGGAGAGAAGCAGGGGTTTCAGAACTGACTAAGTTAAGAGGAGGTAAGAATGAGTGGGGACAGAGAGGAGGGATAAAGGGAATGACAAAAGCAAGAGGGGCGTCTACTGATTTCGTGGCAATCACAGTCTAACTTCCCTAAGTATTATAACACGTCCCCCCTCAAGGCTAATCTCCTCCCTTAAACTGTCCCTGAAGAGCAAAATAAAATGAATGACTACATGCTCAAGGATTAGATCGTGACGAGCCAGGCCAAAAAGGAATTTCTCTCCTCACTCTAGAGAAGAAAGACCCCAAGATTTCGGGGAATTGAGCAAGGTCACGGTAGCTAAGTTAAAGCTGGAATCAAGTTTCCAGACTCCCAAGTCAATGCTCCGCTCTCTACACAGGAACCTCCCCAAACTCCAATGTGCACGTGATAAATGATTCAGTAGTTCCAGGAGGAACCCAAGATTCTGCACCTCTCACAAGCATCCAGGTGGTGCTGAGGCCGCTGGATCACACTGAGCAGCGAGTCTCTGCCCCATTTTACCCACTAAAGTAAGTCTGGGAATAGGTCTTTTTGTTGCTTCAACAAAAAATGTGTTTTCCAGGAGTAAGAGCAAGTAGGTTACATATGAAATGCTTTAGTTTTAAATGTTACAGTAACGCAACACTGTTTGTAAAATTTACCGGGGTTCACATTTACATGATGGTGTCAACTGTAAAATATCTACTTAAATCACAAATTTTTAAAGTATATACACACACCAGTGTTAGAACTGAGCGACCTCCATGCATTCTTCGGATATGAATTTATTGATAATTTGCCCTTTATGTTTGAAATATACCATGCCTAAATTGCACTAAATCTACTAAAATTGTCTTAATTCTGTCTCCTGTGATAATAGAGATACTATATCTAGGGGTTTTTTCACTTGCTTTGAGATTTTGTTTTATATAAGAAAGAAGCACTGAAACATCAAATACAACAGGTTTATCTGCATAGATTTTACCTTCTGTTAATACAGTGTAACAAAACTGACCATACCCACTTATATGTATCATAGCCCTATTTAGGAGACACTCAGTGTAACTGGAGGAGAAAAGATTTATTTAAGTTCTTGTTACTTCTATTTCTCTATTTTTGCCTTGCCTATCAGAGGAATCTCCATGCATCTGAAGAGAGTTGATGCAAACTAAATACAATATGTCCTCTCCAGCCAAAACTCAGTTAACCTCCCCAAACTTCCTATTGGTCCCCTTAAATCAGCTGAGCCCAAGAGGTTTTTCCTATAAACCATCCACAGTGTATCTAAATCTGATCCCAGTAAAATTTCACTTCAGCTGAAGTGAAAATGCAGAGGTAGCATTTACGGATAACAGCTGGAGAACATTAGTTCTCTGTCTCTCCTTCGCTCTCCCAAGGGCTGAAAACTCTGCTGTTCAGACAGGAAGTCGTCACACACCACACACTGTACAATACGAGAATGCTGGGATGTAAGAGCAAGTTGCAGAGATCAGGGGGAGTGCGCAGGGGTTTTGTTCAAGAACACAGAGCAGCCACTCTGCATACCTCTTAGGGTGTCCTTTCCCCTCCCCAGTGTTCAAGCAGCATAATGTGTGCACACCCAGAGCTGACAAGCACACTCCACTCCCTGAAAGCTTTTTAATGAGTAAGTAGGTTTGATCTTCCATTTTTCCACAAGCTTTTAAAACATGAACTCCAGGAAGTTTTGGGGAGTGGCTAAGATTCTCCAATAATCTTCTTTTTTTTAATTTTTTTGGCATACTTTCAAATTTGCTATCGGAAAAAGACAACCTTTTTCAACTTTTCAAAAATGAAATTGTCACACTCCCCCCAAAAAAACATATCTCACATAACTGCCCAGAATAAGGAAATATATATATTTCACATATATGTGGAATTCAAAACATGATGATCTGGGAGAGAATGACTTAAACAAAAGGTTCTTGTGGATATGGTTTTCCAGGGTGGGTTTCTGCCGTAATTTCACAAAGCTGCTGAGAAGGAGCACAGCCACAAACAAGGGGAGAGACAGCCACATTCTGTGGCCGCAGCTCGAAGTTTTGAGTAGCATGGTAGGAGTTTCCCAAACACCACATGCTGAATAGCCATTCCGCATTCCGACCCGTCTGCAGGCGCAGGGCCGCGTTACAGCCGCCCGTCCTCCGGGGGCGCGCTGTAGACCTGACCCGGCTCTTCCACGCCCCTCCGGCCAAGTTCAGGACAGACCAACCTTCCTAACATTTTAACTAGGAAAATGCCTTTGCCATATGCCTATCGGGGGGCATGCCGTTCATCAACGGGGTGACAACACTCCAGTTTTATGCAAAGAGGGGGAGGAGGGGCGAGGGGGAAGCCAACCCACACATCCATCTTCCTTTGAGGAGGAGGCGGAGTTTAAAGTTTCTCCAACTTCCAAGTCCCCACTTGACAGGCAATATTTCTGTGCAATTTCCAGCCCCATGGAACAGATGGTCCTTTGCCCGTCTTGAGCCCCGAGAGAACCCAGACAAAGCCCCCGCCACTGCTCGTCTCCCGGGGGCCCAGAGGTGGTCAGTTTCACGAAGCTGTCACCCAGGGGCAGCGGGCAGAGAATGGGAACGTAACTACTTCTTCCAGAAGCTTTTCCTGCTACAGGAGAGCACAGAGAGGACGGGAGCACAAAGACCTGAGAAAGTTTTCATTTCGTTATTTTTGGAAAAAAAAAAACAACACAAACGTCTTCCTCCATCTGCCAAACCATCCTCCTACAGCCCAGGTGCCCAGGGTGGGAAAGCTGAGGCACAGGCGTTCAGACACCAGGCAGCACTGCAACTGGAGCGGTCCCAAAGGCTACCTGGGAAGTTGCTTAAAAAGCACCCCTAGGGCGCGGAAACATCCTCGGGGCGCCCGAGCACTCCGTGCCCAAGGGAAGGTGACGGCCCGGACCGAGCGCCGGAGGGGTGCGCGCCGCCGCCGAGGGCGAGAGCCTTCCTTCCCAGACCCGAGGGCGCGGGGGAAGGAGGGGCGCGCGGCGCGGCGCGAGGACGGGCGGCCCACTCACCCTCACTGCCGTACTGCTTGCCATTGTTCGCGCCCATCCTGCCGCCGTCATGCCCGCCGGCGCCCGGGACACTCCATCGCTGGGGCGCACCGCCCG